GTGACTACGAGCTACACTCTCTTGACTTCAGCACTGCTTTCTTGCAGGGCAGACTGCACGAGGAGATCTGGATGCGCCGCCCACTTGGCTTCACCAGTACTTTTCCTCCTGGCACCTAGTGGAGCCTACGGCGGCCAGTCTACGGTCTCCGCCAGGCACCGTGTGAGTGGCACGACACACTGAGGACTACACTTGCGGCTCTTGGGTTTGCTCCCTCTACTGCCGACCCGTCGCTGTTTCTGCGCACCGACACTTCTTTGCCGCCGTTCTACATCCTCGTGTACGTCGACGACTTGGTCTTTGCCACAGCTGACACTGCTGGACTCGCCCACGTGAAGTCCGAGCTGCAGAAGAGACACATGTGCACTGACCTGGGTGAACACGTCCTTCAGCGCTTCAGCTTCACGTAATCCTCGCCTCAGGCCACTCCTCTGCCTACTCGCCACTCGCTCTCAGCTCTGCCTTCGGATGAGTCCGTAGAGTCGAGTGGCCCGTACCCAGAGCTTGTTGGCTGCCTCATGTACCTGATGACCTGCACACGACCTGACCTTGCATACCCTCTTAGCATTCTCGCACGCTATTTTGCTCCTGGGACACACAGACCGGAGCACATGGCTGTAGCGAAGAGGTTGTTGCGCTACTTGTGCAGTACGTCAGGCATGGGGCTTGTGCTTGGAGGGCAGAGTCCAGTGGTTCTCACTGGGCACGCAGACGCTTCTTGGGCTAACGACCAGGCTACGCAGCGGTCATCACAGGGTTACACCTTCAGCCTTGGTTCCGGCTCTGTTTCTTGGCGGGCTACTCGCTCGTCTTCTGTTCTCGGCTCCAGTTGTGAGGCTAAGATCTACGCAGGAGCCATGGCTGCACAGGAGCTTCGCTGGCTCACCTACCTGCTGAGTGACCTCGGAGAGCCGCCTCGTTCTCCTCCAGTGCTGTACGTCGATAACAAGGCCATGCTGGCCTTGTGTCGGGAGCAGAGACTGGAGCACAGAACGAAGCACATTGCTCTCCGCTACTTTCTTGCTCGTGAGCTGCAGCAGCGTGGTCAGTTGCGTCTTGCGTACGTGGCCTCTGAGGCCAGCACTGCTGATATCTTCACCAAGGCACTTGCGCCTTGTGATCATCCGCGCTTTTGTACTCAGCTGGGTCTTGTGCTTGCCTTGCCTCACTTGCTCACCTCTTGACCTTGCTTGTACTGTTACATATATATATACACCTGCTCTTGCTTGTCTAGTCTTTTTTATGTATGTACTCCTGCATGTGAACTGGCCTTGTGGCCTTGAACTTGTGCTCGGAATGTGTGGTGACTTTGTGATCCACCCTGAGCTTGCTTTGCTTTGCTTTGCTTGACTGGTCTTGTGACCCCTTGTTCTCCCCCACTTTTCCTATGGGGGTGTGTCATAACATATAGCTTATGCATTTTGTGTAGGCTATAGTGGGGTAGCCCATAAGGGGTACAACCCAATTAGGGTTAGTACTTGTACCCAACTCATTCATAGTTCATTCATTCTCGTTTCAGTTTTCTCACAAAGAAGTTGGCATGGCAAGACTACATCAGAGTTTGGACGACTGTCAGCGTAGCATGGTTGACCGCGTGCCAGCACGACTTGGTTGACCGCGTTCCAGCAGTGCAGAGTCACTGCTTGCCAACGCTGCAGGTCGATGACGTGCCAACTCCGCAAGTCGACGGTGGGCCAGCATTGCTCCCGCAGTACAGCATCGCACACGCTTCGCAGGTGCTTGCATATGATTGGCGTGCTGGGCCTTGTCACCTGTACAGCGCACACACCAAGTCTACCTGGTGCTGACGACTGCATCTGATCGGCGACGTCGACCTCGGGATGCCACCACCGAGGTCGGACTTGCCAACTTCGCCTGGGCGACCGTCGCACTCCTCCGCAGATACTCGTCACCCAGGTAACCTGGTCGACCGGGCAACCACGTCGACCAGCAGCTCCTGTATGTGCCCATCGACCTCCCAAGTCGACGACCACCCCAAGTTAACGTCACCATGTTGACCACACCCCTGGTCGACCAGCTCCAGGCGGGCGTCACTTCTGGCCGACTAGCTCCTCGTCGACCAGCACAGCTGTCAGCCAACCACCCAAGTCGGCTACCCGAAGTCGGCGTCACCAAGTTAACGCCCTGCTACTCGACGCCCAGCTGCTCGACATCCTGAGTCGTGGTCGATGTCGGCCCCTCCTCCGTCGACCACCAGGTCGATATCACGCCTGGTCAACCAACCATCAAGTCGACCAGCAGGCCTGGTCGACCAACCACCACGTCGACCAGCAGTCCTGTCAGCCAACCACCCAAGTCGGCTGCCCCAAGTTGGCATCACCAAGCTGATGCCCTCCGCAGGTCGACTTCCCAGGTTGACCTCCCTGAAGTCGGCGCCACCCTGAAGTCGTCGCCCGTGCAGTGGCCCCCGTGCAGGTTGACCTCCTCATCAACCAGCTCGCCCACTGCTGCAAGTCGGCTGCTCCCCTCACATCCGACCACGAATTCAGCTCTGCCCAAGCGAGGACGGGGCCAACACACAACTCCCGTTGACACTATCTCTACAGTAGCCTCCTTGCTATCTCTCATTCTTTCATCCCCCTTCCTCTCCTCTCCTCCCCTTTTCCCAGGTTGATAACATATTGTTGGAATGGAGATTCGGCAGCAAGGCCTTCCTTTGCATGCATAATAGAGATACTGGAGCAGATTCAAGAGGGGACGAACCGATCTGGCAAGAAAGCGAAAGCCAAAACATCTGGCCATGCATGCTGTACAGTCTTGTAATATTGTAACCGTGTGGAATCACGACTTTATTTTGCGAGGCAGTTTCTGGTGTAGCGTTATTTAGTATTGCTGGGCATTGCAGTGCTTGGTGTGTTGCATTGCAGTGTTTGAGTTTTTAACAAGATGTCATGCAGTATTAGTGTAAATATTTAGATTGCTCACAAACACACGAAGCCAGGAGTCTCGCACAATCAATCACCACACCACAGCCTTGCAGAAAACCCAAGCTAGAGTGCAAAAAAATTCTGGAAACACTGTACTGGGAAACTTTAAATAAATGCGATAATAAATCACACCAGTCATGACTCCACCTTTGAGCCATGATTGCAGCCGTATACGCACCTCAACGTGCAGCCGTATACGCACCTCCACGTACAAAGTCTGAAACTCGGGAGCTGTTGGCCCCTCCCAGAAAAGCAAATGCCGTTGCCAGAATCAACAGGCCAGCATGTTCCTGCTGACTGAATGGGCCTGGCAATCCCTGTTCAACTGCAGTCGGCAGCGCTACAAGCTGAACCAGATGGGGTGGATGGGGTGGATGGGGCTGGATGGGCTCTTCGCATTGAAGGAAGGCGTCAGTGGGGCTTTGTTTCCTGGCCTCGAAGTTGTTTGTTCCACCGACTCTGCTGCACGGTGCAGAGCCTGGCATGGTTGTGCCCTGCTGCATGGTTGTGCCCTGCTGCATGGTTGTGCCCTGCTGCATGGGTGTTCCCTGCTGCATGGTTGTGCCCTGCTGCATGGGTGTTCCCTGCTGCATGGTTGTGCCCTGCTGCTTGGGTGTTCCCTGCTGCATGGTTGTGCCCTGCTGCTTGGGTGTTCCCTACTGCATGGGTGTTCCCTACTGCATGGGTATTCCCTACTGCATGGGTGTGCCACTCGTCCTGCCCTTTCCCTCATTACTTACCATGCTGCTATCAGTGTGTGCATATGGTGAGTTGCCTCCTCACCAATACGGTCCTTCAACCTAAAAGCCTGCTACTTCTCTTCCTCCCTCATCCTCTCCCCCATCTTACCTCCTTCCATCCATATTGCTGGAACGGTGATCCGGAAGCAAGTTTTTCCTTTGTAGGCACCTCAAACTCTAACTAGCACACCCCCTCTCCTTCCTTCCCTATTTCCCAATCTGCTGGCAAATACTGGAATGGTAATAAGCAACAATTCCCTCCTTTGCATGCATAATAGATTTACTGGAGCAGATTCAAGAGGGAGATTAGCCATCCTGGTAAGAGGGAGATTACGCGAAGTCATCTGGCCCTGCATGCTGTACAGATTTGTTGTGGTTGTGATGCAGCCGTGCAGGTCGTAAGTTTGTGTGGCTTGCAGTGTTTGGTGGTGTAACATTTGACTAGTGCAGCAATAGTGTACGGAGCCCATATCAAGGATGTTAAGAGTGTCAAGGACTAGATATGTTGTACAAGGAAACTTCCACAAAGCGTACCATAACTGCACAAGTATTATATTGAAAAAAAAAAAGATAAAGAGAGGGATAAACATCCTATGCTGCACCCTCAAAACATGATTGGGGATCCTTTTGCACTTCAACACCTTTTAAGTATGCTGTACAAAAAACGTAAACTACAAAGTGTACCATAACTGCACACGTATAACAAGCCAATGAAGGAACTAAAGTTGGCCATCCTAAGCTGTACTTTCGATCGAGCCACAACTGCAGCTCCTTCCGCATGTCAGCCGCTACGAAGCCCGAGATGACTTTTGAGTCGACTCAAGAGTCAACTCGCTACAATGTTACACTAATCTGCACACTAAGCTGCACACTATACTGCACACTAAGCTGCACACTAGACTGCACACTAAGCTGCACACTAGACTGCACACTAAGCTGCACACTAAGCTGCACACTAGACTGCACACTAGAATGCACACTAAGCTACACACTAGACTGCACACTAAGCTGCACACTAAGCTGCACACTAGACTGCACACTAAGCTGCACACTAGACTGCACACTAAGCTGCACACACTAAGTCGCACCCTCGAGCCACAATTGCAGCTCCTTCCGCACGCCGGCTGCAAAGTCTGAAGTGACCTTTGAGACTACTCAAAGGTCAAATCGCTACAGTGTCACACTAAGCTGCGTCCTCGAGCCACAATTGCAGCTCGTTTCGCACATCATCGGCTGCAAAGTCTGAAACCCGGATGGTGCTCGCTCCTCCCAGGAACGAAAAAATTGGTGCAGGAATCACGGGCCCAAGCATTTACTGCTGGGCCAAAGCACCACTCACTCCATGCCCTGCTGCTGCCGGGGATGCTGCAAGCAGAGGTGAATGAGGCTTGCACATTGAAGGCACCAATACGCTACTGTGGGCTCTGATCTGCTGTGTTTCTTGTCTCAAACCCGGCGCTGCTGCACCGGGTGAGTTGCAGGTGAGGAGTGGCATGTGTAGGGTCCAGGGCTGAGATGCTGCTGGCTCTGGCGTGTGAATAGCACACTGCTGCCGCTTGCTTGAAGAGCCGGGAGGATCAATCTGCTGCTGCTGTTGCTGCAGCATTGGTCCCACCTTCTCCTGCACCCCCTTAGAAGTATAAGCACGCAGAGGAAGGAAGCGCTGTTCGTTGCATTGGGATATGAAACCCCTACTGCCCGTATTGAAGTCTGTGATGCAATCAGTCAAGGTTTTTCTGCTCCAGGAACGTAGTTCCTCTGGTGCAGCCATTCTCTCGAGGTCCACACGAGCACTTGCTTGTGCATATGTTTGGTCACAGGCTTGTGCATAGGTTTGGTCACAGGCTTGTGCATACGCGTGGTCACATGCTTGGTCACAAGCTTGTGCATAGGATTGGTCACAGGCTTGGTCAATGGCTTGGGCGCAGGCTTGGGCAGGGGGGCCCAGCAGTGGAGAATCCATTGCTGAGGCCGGGCGCTTCTGCAGATGCACAAGCGCACCAAGGCTGGTGGTGGCTGTTACGGGATCTGATGCACACACAGCTGGGTACCTTTGCATCGACTTGGGATTCACTTCAGGTAGCCGTGCGTCTATGGCAGAGGGTAGCTGCACGTCATGGCCGGTGGCTGCTAGGGGTTCTAAGGCACACTCAGCTGGGCACCTTTGCATCGACTTGGAGCTCACTCCAGGCAGCTGTGCGTCCAAGGCAGAGGGCAGCGAATTCTGCCATTTCATTTGCGTGTCACGGCGGATGGCTGTTAGAGGTTCTAAGGCACACATGGTTGGGTGGGGGGATTGAGGGAGAGTGAGAGGGAGAGCGGGAGGGAAAATTGGAGGGAAAGTGGGAGCGAGAGTGGAGAGCAGAGTATTAGAGAGAGTGGGAGGGAGGGTGGAGGGGAGATCATGAGGGAGAGTAGAAGGGAGAGTGGAAGGCAGAGTGTAAGGGAGAGTGGAGGGGAGAGCGGAAGGGAGAGTGGAAGGCAGATTAGAAGGGAGAGTGGAGGGGAGAGTGGAAGGGAGAGTGGAGGGGAGATTGGAAGGGAGAGTGGAAGGGAGAGAGGAAGGGAGAGTGACAGGGAGAGTGGCAGGGAGAGTGGAAGGGAGGGTGGCTGGGAGAGTGGAAGGGAGGGTGGCTGGGAGATTCGCAAAGGACTCAAGCATGGCTGAGGCAGTTTGCTCTACACCACTGTTGGTGCATGCTCTGCTGAATCTCTGTATGAAAGAATCGGCCAGCGGCAGCCACAGCGTCGTCTCTTGTTCCATCTGCTCTGATAGCTGCTCTTGCTCTTGCTGATGCCGCCGCTGCTGCTGCTGTTTCTGCTCCTGGTGGTAGTGGTGGTGGCGGTGCTGCTGCTGCCGCCGCCGCCGCCGCTTCTGCTGCTGCTACTGCTACTGCTACTGCTGCCACAGTTGCTGCCACAGTTTCTGCAGTACTATCACATCCTGCTGCGTATTCAACCCAATAGCATCAAATGCAGCACAGTAGTCAGTCAAAGCTGCGCTTGGTCCAGACCCCATTGATGTTGCCAACCTCGCATCTGAAATGTTGTGCACCGGCCCTCCCTCCCCATCGTTATGCAAATCACGACAGAAATTCTCCCGATTGCCCACCACCACACCACCTGCGCTCTGCTCCTCCTCAACCCCCCCAATCTCTCTAAATTCCTGTGGAAGTCCCACGTCATTGGTAGTGCGACACAGTGACAGCTCTTGAAGGCCTTGCTTCATAGGCGGAACTGACCCTTGCAGCAGAGAGTACATCTCATCCGTTGGATCTACCTCATCATCGAACAATTGACGGCTATCATCTATTCCCAGAATCTGACAGCTAAGAGCATCAGGCCGCATAGGAGGTAACATTAGGTTGGCTGACAGGGAAGACCTTGGGGAGAATTCCCCTGCAGGCATACAACTATTTTTTAGCAACAGCTCCTCCTGATAGGGAGCGTGATAAATGGCTGCTGCTGAGGCCCAGTCTGCACAATCAATAGCATCATCAGCAGCACCAGTAGAAACAGCACCACCATTGTGAGAGTACAACGGCTCATGCCAGCTATGCTTGCTTGCCTTTACTTTATTATGTTATTTCTAGCATAGGATAATTATATGCATGCATGAATTGCTTGATTTCCTAGGCTAGGTGCTTTCCTATATTTCATTATAGTTATAGCACCCAGCTAGGTTGCGTGCACCGAATTCTGGCTTTTCGGTTGCCACCGAATTGCCTTCTACCGGATTCGGGAAGGATGTGTTCGGGACGCTTCGCGACCCGCGGAACCTTCGCGTAACACCTGGTTACGGGGCCTTGTGTCGAGCCTATATATAGCCTCGTGTTGTACCCAGGTGATGATTCAATTCACATTCTCTTTTCTGAGCTCGATCCTAGATCCTCACAACCATGAGCACCACCAGCAGCAGCTGAACCATCTGCACCAGCACCATAATCAGCACCACAATCAGCACCATTATCACCGGCAGCACCAGCCGCACCAGTACCAGCACCCGCGCCAATATCACTAACAGCAGCAACAGCAGCAGCTGCACCAGCATTCAGAGGTGCAGCAGCAGTAGCAGCAGCAGCTGCTGCTCTCACTTCCATGCTCTCATTCTGCAATGCTTCCACCAGGACAACACTTCGTGAAACCGCAAGGTTCGTATGACAGCTGGTAGCGTGGCCAGTGGGAGGGTCGGCAGGCTGGCAAATAGGGTGATTGATAGGGAAGTCAGTAAAGCGCTTCTTCAGCTGCTTGGTGGGGATAATGGCGGAGAGAAAGTGGCGATTGCGCGGGCGGGCTCGTCTGGAAGGCAAGGGGTGGTTGTGGGTGCGGTTGCTGTAGGAGACTTGGATGGAGTCTGGAGAGAGAGGCTCCGAGCTATTGCGGCAGTTGATGTCGACAGTTTTCTTGGCCGAGCAGCGTGGGATGGCTTTGTAGCAATTGCACCTGTAGTAACACCTAATGATGCCAAAGGGGGGAGAGGGAAGGAGAGCGGTAAGAGATGGTAAATTCCAGAGCTCAGCAATTGTAGTAGCACCTGTGATGCAGGGACACGAGTTACGGAGAGTACAAAGCGAACCACTCAACCCGGGTTTGAGTTAAGTACTCGCACAAAGCTGCCACCTCAGGATGGGTAAGATGTGACTCACAATAACTGTATGTCCTGCATCTGTCCTCGGAGGCTCTTTCTAAACATGAACGTAAGCCCAATCCCAAAACTGTCTAGGAAGAATCGTGTAGAGCAGAAAATGTGACCCAAATGCATCCTACCAGATCGTTTCGGAAAGACAAAAACAGCACAGCATCGTGCTACAAAAAAACAATGCACTTGAGACCGCCTTTGTGACAAGATTCAGCACTCACATGAAAAACCTGTCATATGTTGACAATCGACAATGGAAAGCCGATCTACACAGTCAACCGGAGTTAAGGCAAGACCGATATGGAAGTAGAAGGACCGACCTTCGGGTCTGCAGGGAGAGGTCTGCAGGGCCTTCGGGTCCTGGAAAAGCCATTTCCAGACCCAACAAAAATACTCCTTGCAGATTCCAATGCGTGCTCTACGCAGCGTCCTTTGGGTCCGGAAAGACCCCAAAAAAACACTGTCAGTGCTTGAGTCAACACAAAGTCAATGTGAGACAGGTCAGGATGACCTGGTGGCGCTGGAGCGCTGCACTTGCTTCTGGCCGTACTTGAGCCGTTTGTGCCCATCGGAGCCCACCACCCGCGCCACCGTCTCCTCCCTCCCTGGCCGTCCCCAGTCTTGCTCGCACGCCTCCGGGCTGCCCGACTCATTCCCAAAGAAGTGCTGGCTACTAGCCGCCCCCGCCCGCTCAGAGAGCGGACGGCTGGATGTTTCCTTCTGAGGACTCTCCAAGAGCCGATTCGTGCCTATCTCGGAAGGATTTGCCATAATATGGCAGAGACCTGCATCTACAGCTTGTGGTAGGACGAGCAGTAGTATATTAGTGCCAGTAGCAGGAGTGGAACTCGTTTTTTTTTTAATATAGGATCGTAACTTTCAATCAGAGTGGAAATAAGTTGCAAGGTTTCCGACCGTCTGGTCACGTGACCAAGGAGTAGCTATTGTTACTTCCCATAGGAATGTGGTGCTGTTAGTAGCACTATATTCTTTCAACCGTTGAAAGATGCCCGATGCGGCGGCTCGAGGCGGAAGAAGGAGCAGAGCAGGCTGAAGGTCAGACAAGCACACTTGTGGACCAGCGCTCGAAGCGGGATGGTCATTCTTGACAAGAAGACCAACTTGTTACCCTTTGATAGTTACCCCTTTCGGCCGTCTGCCAACCAGCAGTGGCGCATACGCATGCTAGATAACTCCGATTTGGTGAGAATTGCGGCCATGCAGAGTTGGACGAGTGGCGCGGTTTAGCAGAACTGTTTAAACAAACAATGTGTTGTGTTCTGTACCACCAGTGGACAAGGGTTCAAATCAAATGGGAAGCTCAGAATTTGGTAGTCATGCTGTCGTGACTTGCGCAAGGAAGCATGTTCAGGCGTCCTCTGGAAAGAGACAACACCCTTTTTGCCCTTCACCGTTATGTCACCACCACCAAAGTCTCAATTGAATAGCAACCCAGAACAGATAATAACAGTGAATTTTGGCTTGCATGATTGCTTCACTTACCACATTGCTGATAAACATGAATCGTGTCCCGTCCGGAAACTGCTGCACTGAAATTCTGTCCGTGCGTTGTCACGCGTGACAAATGCAGGGTGCAACGAGGAACACCGAGATACAGTCAGACACGGATAGGGTGAGTGGATTCTCCTTGTCCTTTATGCAGGACATGTAAACAGGTCTCCCCAATTTTGACATGGGCCATTTTTGGGCTGTTGGGTGTCTATAGAATTCATGCTGTAAAAAAACATTTACTTAAATGTCGGCCGGTAACTTCATGGCAACGAAAACTCCACTGGATATCCTGAGAGAATTTTATTGAAGGAGCACAAAGAGTGTTGGGGGACATGCCCGCCAACAGAAAGTGCGAAGGGCGTGTTCCTTCTCGTTTTCGTACCAGAACTCAGAACCTTCAGGGTACAAAGCCATGAGACAGAAATCTAGTTAAGAGACAAAGTTTGCAGTGATTTGCTGTGACAGTGGGTATGGCACTGGTATTTCACAAAAACAAAAGGAAGCAGCAAAAAGCGGGCTGTCAGTTCAGCATCTCCGAAATGCCAACCAAACAAATGGCCCTACTCACCCTAGGCTGGATGACGGACCCCATCCATGCTCCCCTGTCCTTTGCGGACTAAGTGGTCACTGACTCAAGTGCGGAATGATCGCCTGAACAAAAACATCCTCTCTAACCGACAGACTCGCCGGCCGTCAGCTCGCCAGCCGTCATCTCGCCGGCCACTGGCTTATCCGACCGGCCGGGCAGAGGGAAAACGTTAGGGGTTGGCCGTTTTGGACGTCAAATATCAACGGCTCAATGATGTCTCTCGTAGTCTCAGAAATGGTATGTCTTGAATTGTATGGATAACAATTGTGTATAGTATATATCTTCGTGAATCACAAGCCAATATCAACATCCAACTAATAATGATTATGTTATGTTTATCAACTCTCAAAAAAAAAAAAAAAAAAAAAAGGCTTCCCCTCCTCCAAACTGATAACACATTTCTGAAATGGTTACTTGGCAGCAAGGGCTGTCCTTAGACTCCTCGTCATTTCCCTACCACAACAAACCCTCACCTCAGCCCCCCATCACCCTCTTCCCCCTCTCTTCCCCTACCCCCTCCTCCTCCTCAAATGGTCCGTTGTATTAATTCAGCAGGGGTACAGACATGCAGTTCTATCCATGATAACCTCTATCCCATAAGCCCATCAACTCACCCCTCTTCCCCTCCCCTCCCCCCTGAGTGACCCTCTAGCCCTCCAGCGTGTGTAGGATGTCCCCCAGGTGCAGCGGCCAGGGGTCCGCTGCCATCTGGGGGTGTGCTGCCTCAATCCCAACCCTAGCCTTGGTGTGCAGGGCGTTCGCCTGGGAGCGCTGGAGGGCCACTAACCAGCGCTGGCTGAAGTGGCAGGCCATCTTCTTGGCGGATTTCGCCAAGGGGCTGGCCGTGAAGCGGTTCCTAGCTGCTGCTGTGGCCAGCAGTTTCAGGAACGCCGTCGTGGGGGGCGCGTTTGCCCCATAGGTCTTGACGGCCAGGGCGCAGAACACCACGTGTTCAGTGTGTCGGTAGTAGTCCCTCTCCTTCCGCTTCTGTGCCTCCCTTGCAGCCCAACCTGGGGGTTTGCGGGCCGTGGGGTCTCGGTTCTGCAGCACAGGGTCAGTGATATTGGTGTTTGTGAACCAGGTCTCTCCGCTGTCCGGGTCTTGTACAATCACATCTGCCTTCTTCGGGTCATCCGGAGGTGAGTACATCGCATTCTCCAGGTATACCACCACCTGCGCCTCCCTCGCCATTTTAGCCATGGCGAAGGCCAGCTGGTTGTGTGTGCGCGTCCTGTCGGGGCCTGTGCTGCAGCGGAGTAAGTGGTTGGGTAGGCTGCAGTCGGCTACGAGTTCTCCGCACTCGCACACGGTTGGTAAATTCTGTCGGAGGCCCATGCGGAAGGCCAGGGCCGTTCGGAACTGTCCTGGTGAGAAGCAGAGGTCCGGGGTCAAGGGTAGTGCCTGCAGCCACGCTCCCGCCCCCTCTCCTCTCAGGCTGACTAGGCGGAGTGTGTGGCCCATCTCGGGGGCTGACTGTATTGCGTGTGACTCCTCTCTTAGGGCGTCGGCCTTTGCCACGTGCACTTCCTGGGAGAGGGCGCGCTGCAGTTGGTCCTGGGACGGGGTTTGCTGCTCCTCCTGTAGGTTTTGTAGCGCCAGCGGTGGCAGTCGCCCCTCCATGTCCTGGATGGTCATGGAGTGCGCTGCAGACGGCTGCAGGGCGTTGCTGTCGGCCCCTAGCGGCGCGGTTGCCGGTAAGTCCAGGGAGCGGAGCAGGCGCAGCGCCTCTGTTGTAGATGCCAGGTAGGCCGGTGCTGCTTCAGTTGTGGGGTCCGTAAGGCCCAGTCCGCCTAGGGCTACTAGGAGAGTTGCCTGTCGGAGAAGGAAGTTGAACTCGGCTTGTCGGCGTGGCGGTTGAATGCTGGCGGCGGTCAAGGCAATGTTCAGTAATTCGGCGCACCATGTGTGCCATTCCGAGAGCGGTAAGACGTCAGCTGGGGTAGTGCGCAGCAGGTAGCCGACTCTGCGGCTGATGCAACGAGACAGTAGCAGGAGGGCGTGTTGTGGGTGGATGGACGCCAGAGAGCCCAAGGGGGCTGCCGCGTCTGTCAGGGTGCTGCGGACAAAATCAGAGCAGAAGCTCTGCGACCCCACTGGACTTCCCAACACCCGCACCCCCTCGCGGGTGAGGGTTAGGCCCTCGAGGAGTACGTCCCCTCCTAGCGGCATAGTGGACCACGCCGACGACTTCCTAAAGTTGCAGGTGAGACCGTCCCGTGCCAGCAGCGGCGTGAGCTCCCTGAGCGCTTCCAGCGTCGCCGCCGCGGGTCCAATCATGGTTATGTCATCCGCGTAAGCAACGACCGTGACTTCGGGGTGCTCCGTTGCTACGTGCCTGAGGTGCTGCTGGATAGACGCTGCGAATATCAGAGGTCCGAGGGGATCCCCCTGTCTGACTCCCCTTCCGCTGGTGAGTGCCGTGGAATTGAAGCATGGGTCCAGCAGAAGTGGTGAAGATGTTGCGTAGAAAGAGCGTGTGAAGGGGATTAGGGGGGCTAGTGGGGAGCCGATGAGTGCGTTGAAGAACGCGCTCCTCTCTACTGAGTTGAACGCGTTCTCAATGTCGACCTGGAGTACTAGGCTGGAGGGCTCCACCGTGGTAAGGTCTTGGACAGCATGGATGGCAAATTCTGCACCTCTAGGGACTGCCACGCCAAATTGCTGAGGTAGGAAAAAAATTCGCGTTTCTCCTTGCAGATCTTAGAGCGCCACCTTCGCCGCCAGCCTAAGCAATGACTCTCCAATCGCAATGGGACGTACCCCCCCTCCTGGTTTGGCGAAGGCTATAAGGCGGGACGGGGCAAGTAGTGCTGCGACTCCAGTGGAAAGATTTGTCGAGAGAAGATGCGTAACGGCGGAGTGGAGGTGCCCTAGTACCTCGATGTTACTTAGCGCTGGATCGCGGTAGTGTTCGAAAGTTGACCCCGATGGGCCAGCCCCAATTCCCCTGGGGCATTCTCCAAGGACGTCGGAAAACCGTTCCAGAGTGATTGAGAATTGCGTGGGTGTGGTGTAGGAATGCACCCACTCGGGCAGGTCATTTTGGGGTTGGGGGTGTTTCGATTCCAGCTGCTGTAGTGTCGCAATTGTCGCAGGTGCTGAAGGCGAGGGTTGTAGGGCTGCTAACGCCTTTCGCAGGTTACCCTGTTTCACCAACCCCTCCGCATGTGAGCAGATTCACAGTGGGTCACGTTGGTGCTGAGGTGGTTCGGCTAGGTGCATTGACCCCAAGTAGTCAGTGTACAGCTGGGTCCAGTGGCCACATCGGAATAGATGCATCTGTTCCCGCAGCAGTTTCCATCTAGAGCTGGATCTCCGGCTAAGTCTTAGCGTGAGACGTGGCAGGAACATGAGGACCCGCCATGCTCCTGCGCAGTTAGGCAGCTTGGAGATCCGAAGTAGGGCAGCCAGCATACAGGTGGAGTAGTCGCTGAGGATCTACGGCGGCAGTCGGCGGACGATTGGTAGGTGGGTGGTGGAGGTTAGGAATGTAAGGTCCCAAGTCATCGCGATCTGGAAAAGATCCTCCCGCGAGGCCAGCTGGGACGCCGATAGTGCCTGGTCCGGGGGAAGGTGAGCCCTGCGATGCTGTATGCGGCCGGTTCCTCTCTCCTGTTGCTGCGCTTGCCCCTCTCCTTGTTCCGCGTGAGGTGAGGCGGGATCGTCTGGTTGCCTCATATCTGACGGTATATAATCGTATCCACTCTTCTCTGTGTTGATATCCCTGTTTCTCCTCGCTTGCGCTGCTGTTCCTCCCCTCGCCCCCCGCCTGGCAAATGACTGGCGCGTGACTCGTTCCGCCGGCTCCCCCAACCAGATTGGGCTCGGCAACTGGCAGGGCGGTCCCCTTCCCGCTTGGCCTGCGCTCCTCTGCCCTCCGCGCGCTCCTCGTCGCCCGCCTCTCCCCCGCGTGCTTCCCCGTCCGCTCCGCGGGGTAGCTGCCACAGGATCCGCCTGTTGCGCCTGGGAGATCGGCGTTGTCGGCTCCTCGTGTGCCAGTGGAGCGTCTTGAGCGTTGGCCAATGGATTTCCTTGGCGCTCTTGGCCGCGACAGCACCGCGGAGAGCGATCCTGCTCCCCGTCCGCTTCCTCCTGCACGCCCTGCCGCGAGCGTGCCTGTTGCTCCGCCGGCGTCCGCTGATCAGATCCGCTGCCGCTTCGAGGACCAGCGGCGCGAGTTGGCTCCGCGCGCGGGCAGGTCCTTGTCACCGCGGGAGCCCCCGCGCGCGGGGTCTGTCTTGCGCTTTGGCGCAGAGGCTGTGGCGCATCAGGAGCGTTCAACTCACCGTCGCGCATCGGCAGCTCGCGACGATAAGCGGGAGAGCCGCCGTGATGATCGTCACGGTGCGGCTCGTTCGCCGCTGTCGCCTCGTTCGCCTCGTCGCGTGGCGTCGCGAAGCCGATCCCGTGACCGTCGTTCGCATCGTCATCGTTCGCCCCCTCACCGTTCATCTCGCCAGCGGTCGTCTGCCTGCCAGACGTTTGGGCGTCGCCCCCCAGCTCTGCGTTCGCCCCCTCCTGCAAAGCGCCAACGGATCTACTCCCCTCGTCGCGGGGACTGTTTTCCTGGCCGCCAGCGTCAGCAGGGCCCATCTCGCCCGCAGTCGCCTGTGCGCTCGAGCGCAAGTGGGCGTGCGGGTCGTGGGCGACGGGGGGGTGACAGTCGCGGCGGAAAAGCGCGTCCAGCGCCGTCCGCAATGGAGCGCCGTCTTCTGGATAGGCTTGATGACGTGGAGAAGGAGCTTCGTCGCTCGCGTGCGGGGTCGGCGTCACCATCAGCTCCTCGCGCTGCTCCCGTCGTCCCTCTCTCCGCGCTCCTGCCCCACAATCCCTTTGGATCCCCGGCGCGTTCAGAGCGGCCGCTGCCGATGGGGATGGGCTTCGTAGGTGCTGGTGGCGGGCCGCCGTGGGCTCAGTTTGCTCCGCCGCGTCCTCTTCCTGTTCCGCGTGATCTCGCCGTGTCGTCTCACCGTGCTCACGCGTCTGCGTTACTTCCGCCGATGAAGGAAGTTTCAACGGCGACCCTGGCCCGCTTATGGTCGCTAGCAGCGTCCCTGCAGAGCCTTGAGTGGATTCTCCAGGAGTCATTTGACTCCATGCCGGTGAGCCCTCCGAGCAGGTTCTCTCAGAAACCGCGAGCAGATTGTCATGCGGCGGCGTCAGCGCTATTCGCGCTCGTAACGCCACTGCAGGTAGCGCCCTCGCTGGGAGCAACCTCGGCCAGCCAGCTGGCTGACTCGGCCCTGGCTCAGAGGACGCTTGTAGCAGGCCCTGGTACTCCTGTTGACGTTGTAGGCGCCACCGTGTCTGTGGTCCGCCAGTTGTGGTTGAACACGAGCGAAATGCTCGCTGCGGTAGAGGCGGACCGCATGTAGGCGCTCCCCCCTTGCGTGTATAGACCCGTTCCATCCTCTACTTGCTAGGTGTCTATGCTTGCTTTGTTTGTATCGGTTGCCTAAGCTACTACTACTTGTTGTTTCTCCTTGCCATCCCTAACGCGCGGCCGAAGGCCGCGCACGCGAGCGCCGGCGGCCCAAAAATTTCAGCACTAACTGAAAGAATGAGAGATGGAGAGGCCGCCGTGGCCTTAAGTAGTCATGGCAGAGGGCAGAAAGCAGAGGGCAGAGGGTAGAAGGGGAGAGGCTAATCCTCTCTCTCTCTCTCGCTCTCTCGAACAACACCAAAATTTTCAGCACTAACTGAAAGAATGAGAGATGGAGAGGCCGCCGTGGCCTTAAGTAGTCATGGCAGAGGTCAGAAAGCAGAGGGCAGAGGGTAGAAGGGGAGAGGCTAATCCTCCTCCCCTCTCTCTCTCTTTCTCTCCCCGTTTCCCATGCTGATAAATTATTGTCAAATAGTACGTAAAATTGGCATACCCTATCAAACTGCATTTGCACACACTATAAACATTTCACTCAAGAGAATCCGGGCTAGAACTTAAAACGCCAAGCCATCTGACCCTATGTGCTGCGTTCGTTGCAGCAATTCGCGGCATTGCAGCACGAGCAGATAGAAATGAGCAGAATACTACGCACCGGCCGTAGTGGTGCAAATGCAGAAAGACAGTAAGAGTCATTGACAACCACAACTAACGCACGTCAAGCTCAAGCTTACTCAAAGTATCTAACACAGCACATACTAAAAACTAGAAATAACATACCGTCATCGCCCGGATATAAGACAGTGTTGAATAGTAGACAGGGGTTGTCTACTATACGGGTGTCTCTTATAAACAGGCTAGCCTTTTTATACGACACCTATTTGTGTGTATGAGATAAGACATATATGTCTTATAATCAGAACCGGGGTTTAGGGGTTTTCTTATAAACAGGGGGTGTCTTCTAAACGAGCCTACACTACTTTAGGGGGGTACATCCATACATTCATGAATCCCTACTTCTACCTAACCCCCCTCAGTAACCGCCTCCTCTGCAGCACTAGCAACAGGCTCTACGCCCAGGTCTGGCACTCGCCAGGCATGCCTAGCCGTCTCCCTCGGCTCGATCATGCGGTCAGCCTCGGCTGCCGCTCCGCGGTAGTTGGGGGTCTCCTGGTACAGCACCTCCAGGCCAGTTGCCATGGCCACCTCCCGCACGCCCTCCGCCTGCATCGCCTCCTCCTCCTCCTCCTCCTCCTCCTCCTCCTCCTCCTCCTCCTCCTCCTCCTCCTCCTCCTCCTCCTCCTCCTCCTCCTCCTCCTCCTCCTCCTCTGGAGGCTTCCGAAGCAGGCGCGTGTTGTCGCCTGTGGTCCCCCTGAGGGACATGTCCTCGGAGACATCGGTGGTGCTCCTGGCGCGCAGGTGAGACATCACCAGGTGGTTCTCCGTTCCGTCCAGCTTGCTGGAGATCCCACAGTGGCGGAACGCGTCGATGATGATCTGCCTGGGGACTTGATCCCAAGCCTCCGCGATCCACTGCAGCACCACGGGGTGCAGAGGCCTCCGCAGGTTCCCTGCGGGTGGGACAGAGGGCACGGCAGTGAGATGTTAACGATAAGGATACGAAACAGAGCAGGAATTTAAAATGAACAGCCAACTCACCCTTCTTCGTCTTCAGGTGAATCCCTTCACGCATGAACCACCTGGCGTAGCGCGCTCGCACGGCAGCCTTGAAGCACCGGTTGATGGAGACGTCCAGGGGTTGAATCTGGCTCGTACAACCCGCTGGAATGACTGCAGGGGTGATGCTGTGCGTGCGGTACGACTGAAGCATGGTCTGGGTGATGTGGCCGCGGTAGGAGTCCAACACCAGCATCGCACGCCTCCCGCTCTTGCCGCGCTGGGGGTTCAGATGGGGAAGCACCTCCTTGGACAGCCAGGTCTGCACAGCGCTCTTGTCCATCCACCCGTTGTCCTGTGCTTGGACCACGATTCCTGCCTGGCACACAAGGGACGGACGGACATCAGCACAGTGGGGCACGCTCATGAGGCAGGGGCAAGGTTGAAGTCATGGCGCTTACCGTCCGGAATCTCACAGTTGGGGACGTTCTTCATCTTGAACCACACCCACGGCCGCAGCTTCTCCCCGGATGCAGTGCACGCGAGCATCACCGTCAAGCGCATCTTCTGGTAGCCTGTAGTGCGGATTGGGACCGAGCGCGCGCCACGGTGCTCGATCGTCCTCTCGGCCGGCATCTCCAGGAACAGTGGCGCCTGGTCCGCGTTGATGATACGGGCCAGGTCGATGTTGTGCCGCGCCCTGTTGATGCGCACGAACTTCCAGAAGGACTCGCAGTCCTTCGCGCACTCTGCAAACGGGACAGGAACAGAAGCGAGGGACGGTTAGACAACGAGCAAGGTAAGACATGCATACAATGGGCCGTGCGCAGCACGAAATCCTTATCCACGCACCTGCCGACAGACGTTGTCCGACCTTCGTCTTCACCCGCATCACCAGGTTCCAGCGGCCACGGAAAGGCTGGCTCCAGTGAGAGCTCGCGTTCCAGTTCTTGCCGGGGTAATGCTTCTTCATCCACTTGCGGCTCCACTTTTGGGTGTCCTTCACTGAGATGGCCACCCCGTTAGTGCGCTGAAGGCAGATGTAGCGGTACAACGCTGCCTCCATGTCAGGGTAGTGTGCGTGGCGCCCCCCCCCATGCATCCGCTTGCGGCAGTTAGCCGCGCCCTTGTAGATGCCCGCAGTCGCCTTCGCGCCCCAGCGTCTAATGCAGGCGATGCTCGCGGTTGACTCCAAGCTAGTCTTCTTCAAGGAGCCGAGCTCCTGATAGCGGCGCGCCCACTTAACCTTCTCACGCACGGTCCAGCCGCGGCGCTTCTTCGTAGTGTCTTTGCGGCGAGGGGAAGGTGGGCGGGTGTTGGGATTATGGAGGATGGGGTCCTTCGGCGCCTCCTTCTCAGGGAACGTGGGAATCGGGCCCGCCACCGCCGCGTACTCATCGTCGCTGCCCAACGCCTCGTTGACGATGATGTCGTCAGGATTCGGCGCCTTCTTCGCTTTTTTCTTTGCCGCACCCTTGCTGGATCCAGGGTCTCCGTCGTCCTTGCGCTTCTTGTTGCTTGTGCGGCCACGAGCAAGAGCCTTCGCAGGGGCCTTAGCAGGGGACTTAGCAGGGGCTTCCACGACCTTTGCCTTTCCCTTCTCCGCAACGGTGAGTAGGGGGCGACGCTCCTCCCCGGGACTGTCGTCGTCACAGAGCACCACGCGGGCGCGCTTCGTCGTGGAATGTAGGTGATGGCGCAGCCTCCGCTTCAGTAGCGGAACGTCGTCGTCTGTCCCAAGGCTCCGCGGGTCGTCGTCGTCGCCCTCACCCTCAAATAAGACGGCATCCGCAGCCACCTTGTTCGCCTCCGCCACCGCGTCCGCATTCGCAGGCGCCTCTGTCTCGAGTTCCGCCGCCGCCTCGTCGGCAGCCTCATTCGCATCCACCGCCTCTTCCTGTGCCTCCGCGTTGTCACCGCCAGCATCTTCACCTCCGTCGTTGTCGGAATCACCAGCCTGCCACTCTTCCACCTCGTCGTCGCTCCAGACCGGCTGATTCCACCATTCGTCCTCCTCGATGTCGGCAATACCAAATTCGTCGCCCGAAGCGCTGTCATCGTGGCCGTTCTCCGGCCAATCCTCCTCGGCGTCGTCGCCGTGTGCTTCGTCTCCGTCTTCCCCGTCACAGCTCGCACCGGAGGCGGCGGTAGGACTTCCCGCCTTGCTCGCGTTCTTCGCCATGGCTACGCGGATGTCATCGCCGGGCGAGTTAATTCGCCCGTAGTTATTCACCTGCACGTGAGGACGAGGTGAGGACTTGCCTAGGGGTACCTTGCTGCGCATGGTTAGAGAGCCTGCCGAGAGCAAGGTTGAGGTGAGAATTCAACCTCCATGAGCACCAAATGAAGTGAAAGCCCGACTAACCCCCCCAGCCAGAGTGCCCCATCCACAGGTGCCGAGCCGCTCCTCTACGAGGCATCTCCTCGTAGAGGACAGCCTGACGCTGCCAACGTGCTGCCAGCAGCGTTCTGGAAGCTGCCATGCGCTGCTGGCAGCATCACAGAGGAATTTTGCCAGCGGTGGCAGCTTTGCTGCATCACCACCGAGGTCGGCCTGTTTCAATGAATCTGGTCCCTGGGTGTTTTCTACACACTTTGCAAGTGTTACAGTCAACTTAATTTTTTTTCCATTTATAAGAATTATAATACACCCTAAACCATCCTGTTTACAAGATAACTCAAGCATTTTTGCCCGTGTACGAGATAAGACATATATGTCATATCCGGGCGATGACGGTAGCTACTTTAACTGCACATACCTCCTAAGCCGCACCTTCGAGCCACGATTGCAGCTCCTTCCGCTCGCCAACGGCTGCAAAGTCTGAAACCCGGATGGTGCTGTCGCCCCCTAGAAACGCAACCACTGCTGCTGGAATCAACGGCTTCAACATAGCTTGCTGCTGGTGCAATGGGCCAAACATAGCGCGGTTGGAAGTGGTTGGGAACATTGCAAGGTGGTCTGAAGGAGCTGCACACACTGAATTAATACGGGCCGGTGGGTTTAGAGGAGCCTCATGATACGTGCTGCTTGTTTCCCGTTCTGTGCTGCTTGTTTTACATTCTGTTTGGCATGACTTGTCCCTAGTGTCACAAACGGCCGGATGTTTGCTGCTCCTAGTATGCAGCTCCTCTGGTGAAACCACAGTCACAGGGTCCACGCGAGCACAAGCTTGGGCACATGCTTGGGCACAGGCTTGGGCACAGGCTTGGTCAGTGACACGGAGAGAGGGAGGCGGTGCATCCATGGCTGAGGCGGGTCGCTTCCGCACATTCCTAAGCGTACCACAGGTGGTGGCTGTAAGAGGATGTGAGGCACACGCAGGGAGAGTGGCAGTGAGAGTGGCATGGTGAGTGGCAGGGAGAGGGGCAGGGCAATTGGCAATTAGAATCCCGGGCACGGCTGGGGCAGGTTGCTGTACAGAAGTGTTGTTGCTCTGCAAGAAGGAATCAATCAGAGACAGCAGCAACGCTGTCACTTGATCCGTCTGCTTTGACGGCCGCTGCTGCTGCTGCTGTGGTTGTTGCTGTTGCTGCTTCTCCTGCTGTTGCTGTTGCTGCAGCGCTCTCAGATCCTGCTGGGTCTGTAACCCAAGAGCATCAGATACAGCACAGGCGTCAGTCAACGATGCATTTTGAGTCAACGGCTCCTTCTGGGTCTGAAAATGATGAGCATCGGATACAGCACCGCAGCCAGACAAAGCAGCAGCACCCTGCACAGCAGCACCCTGCACAGCAGCACCCGGCACAGCAGCACCCGGCACAGCAGCACCCTGCACAGCAGCACCCGACACATGCCCCATCGGTGCTGCCAATCTCGTCCCTGGAGAACCGTGCAGCGACCCTTCCTCCCCATCACCATGTAAATCAAATTTCAAACCCTCCCCATTGCCCACCACCACACCACCAGCGATCTGCTCCTCCTCGACCAATCCCGCGTCAGAGAAGTTTGGTAGAAGCCCCACGTGGTTGGCACTGAAAGGCAGTGACAGCTCTTGGAGCTCTTGAAGATCTTGGAGACCTTGATTCGTAGGCGATATTGCTCCCAGAGAAGAGAAAATCTCATCCGTCGAATCCTCCTCCGCATCATAAAATCGACGGCTGCCATCTTCTCCTAGCATTTGAGATCTGAGATCCAGAAGCCGCAGTTCCTCATAGATTGTAGACCTCCGCGTGTGAACAGCAACAGCATAGTTGAGGTCAGTGGAGCAGCCACTAACGGGGATAGGCCCAGCCAGCCCCGGAGGAGAGGGCTGGAGGCGGGTCGACAGGGGAGACACTGGGGAGACGTCCCACACAAGCAGGGGATTGCTCCCTGATGGCTGCTCCTTCTGCCAGGGAGAGTGCAAGAGGGCTGCCATGGTCCAGTCTGCATCTGCATCAGCATCAGCATCTGCATCTGCATCTGCATCTGCATCATCCGCAGCATCACCAATGCCACCACCATCATGAGCAGAAGCAACAGCACAAGCAGCATCAGCACAAGCAGCATCAGCAGTTGCAGCAACAGCATCTGCACCTGCACCAGCATCGGTACCACCATCGACAACAGCAGCAGCAGCACCACCACCACCAGCATTGAAAGAACTGCCTGTAGCAGCACTCAGGCCCTCATGATGCAACGCCGGTACCAGGGCATTCACAGGCCCACCAAAATCAGCACCCAGGGCATTCAGAGGCCCACCAAAATCAGCACCCGGGGCGTTCAGAGCTGCATCAGAGCAAGCAGCCTGGGAATCCAGAGCTGCATGGGAATGAGTGTCCGGGTAAGTGAGAGCTGCATGGGAACCACCGTCCGGGCAATCGAGAGCCGCAGCAAGATGGTCAAGGCGAGCAGCGCTAGATGCTGCAGTGCAACCAGCTCCACCGCGTGACACCGCGAGGTTGCTATGGTGGCTCATGGGCCGGTCGAGAGGCCGGTAAGTACGGCGGTAATTGGGCCGCTTGGTAGGGCCGTAAATGGGGACTGTGGGGTGGTTGGGTGGACGGCTAATGGGAGGCGCGGGGTGGTTGTGGAGGCGGCAGCGGTAGGCAACTTGGATGGCGTCGGGGGAGAGCGGGTCGGAGCCGTTGCGGCAGTTGATGTCAACAGTCTTCTTGGCCGGACAGCGCAGGCTGGTCTTGGCGCGACTGCACTTGTAGTAGCACCTGGTGAGGAGGGCGCGAGGGGGAGAAGGGGAGAGAGGGAGGGGGGGGGGGGAGGGGGAGGCGCTACTGAAGACAGTAGTACAGCACGTATGAGATGGTGGTCTTGGCGCGAGTGCACTTGTAGTAGCACCTGGTGATGGATGAAGAGAGGGGGAAAGGAAGGGGAAGGGGGGAGTGAGGGGGAAGATGATGGATTCAGCAGCACAGCTGAGGGTGAAACGGTGAATTCTGCTCAGCAAGGGACAGAGGTGGATGGAGCACAGCACGATATCATCATTCGCTTTGAAACTATGATATGCAGAAACCTCTGAATCAACAAGAGACAACTGGAGTCAACAGAAGAAGACGAGCAGGAGTCAACGCGAGTCAACAGGAGTCAACGCGAGTCAACAGGGCAGACCTGGTGGCGTTGGAGCGCTGCACTTGCTTCTGGCCGTACTTGAGCCAGTTGTGCCCATCGGAGCCCACCACCCGCGCCACCACCACCTCCAATTTCAACCCTCGCGGCCCCAAGTCCTGCTCCCACACCTCTCGACTGACCGACTCATCCTCAGAAAGCTGACGGCTAACCGACGCGTCCTCAGACAGCTGACGGCTAGCCATCTCATGCTCAGAAAGCTGACGGCTAGCGGCCTCCTGCTGACTACTCGCCAAGTGCGGAACCGATTGGTGCAAGCTCGTGTCTCTCTCCAAGATGGAGGCGATTGCCATAGTAGCAGGCAAGCTCTGGCTGTGGTCTTCCTGGAAACTGCCGGTTAGGTAGTATTGGCGGGAAAAGTTGAAGATGAAGGATCTCTAAGGCTCGCGGCGCTGCCGCGGCCGCGGCTGTGGGTAGTATTAGGCCGAGCAATAGTGCTGCCTAGAAGCAGCGCTATGTAGTAGTAGTTTTATTAGGGTTTAGGACAAACGAGGCAAGGTTGAGTGGAGTGACAAACGAGACTGTCCTCCAGAAGTCGAGTAGCATTGCTGATTGTAGTGCTACTGCTGATCCTCTAGTGTGGGGTGGTGATTCTTGCTAGGCTCGTGCACATCTCTTCGAGTCAGATCAGAAGAAGCACCGACCGACCTTTTGGAAAGGCCAGACAACTGCCGCCTTCTGAGGCCTGTGGACAGTCCTTCGTGATAAGGCCGTGACACATCTTGCACGGGCTGCCTGGCCTGGACCATGGAGAGAATCCCCCTCTCTGTCATCTGCCATCACGCATGCGAGATTATCTCCGATTTGCTCGGAGGCTTAGAATCCAGACAAATTAGTGCAGTAGCCAGCCAGTGACAAGTGACGAGACACGCCAGGCGTGGCCAGCAGGACTTGCCGTTGCAAGTCGGATCGCCAGCTTGGTTCATAGGTGTGGTGTCGATTGCGGTGACTCGTGTCACGACTTGCGCGGAACGACATCCTTCACGTGAAATGCTGACGGGGCTGATCCGCGACGAGGACTTCCCTCGCATGGAAAAGGAGGTACAGGAGAGGAAAGAGAGGCGGTTTGGGACGGGGTAGAGGATCAGCATAAAATTCCCTGTCATTGACGACAACGGGAGAACTACAGGTACATGTCCCACACATTGAATCTTTTTTTTTTTTCACACAGTTGTTAGTACACAACCATCGCCCACAGCGCGCCGCTGCTCAACCGTTTGCGCCGTCTCTCGTGACCGTCTACCTGTTGCAAATTCTGCTCCATGCGTCGCGGTTTCAAGCTGTACTTCTACTGTACATAATGCGGTCCACAGACACTTGCGGTGCTTGAGTACTTCTACTGTACATAATTCTTTTCGTCATTTTACTGTACGGATGACAGCTCACATAATCAAGTCAACGTACACATCATCGGTTAGAGTGATGACGCCAGCACATCATCGCAGTGACTAACAACTGAGAATTCCCTAGGTTCCAAGAGCAACAAAATTATTCTTGCGGCTCAAGCCACGGAACGTAACAAACGGAAGTGGCAGTGGGCCTTGGCGGAGTCAAAACGGGATTTGGATTTCAAGGCAACCACGAACAAGAAGGCAAGGATCACCTCACCAGACCAGATTCAATGTACCTGTGTGTGCAGTCTGCAGCAGAAGGTTACCCCATGTGCTACTGTACAGAAGTTTCGAGGATTCATGGTGCTCATCTTGTCGCTTGATTGGCTAAAAAGCAAGTTTGGCATTAATTTGATTGGGCAGCTGGATTACAAGCTCGCAAATGAACCACGGCAGTCTCGAGGCGCCACTTGTGCTGTGTTTCCTGCCGTGACAAATCGCAAATCGCACATTGGATAAAGTACTGAAGAATTGTGGCATGAAGAAATCCCCCTTAGTAAGCGTCTCGTTCTGGCAAATGCATCTTCATCTCCACCCAGCCAGTTTCCAAAGGCGAAAGTTAGGTTCCACACTGTACAAAATGTTCCAAATCTAATATTGTCAGTGAGATTGTCATGCATATGTTACTGTACTAACACGATGCATAACAACATTGCAGTGCTACAATATAGAGCATTCCCTCTTAACCTGCACCCTCGAGCCACAACTGCAGCTTTCTGCGCATGCCAACGGCTGCAAAGTCCGAAACCCGCGAAGTGTTGGCCCCTCCCAGAAATGCAAACACTGCTTCAGGGATTAACGGCCCCAACATTTCCTTCTGCAGCGGTGGGCTGGAGAACCCTTGCTGGTCCGACGGCCGAAACAACCCCTGCTGAGCTGATAAGGCAAACACCTGATCGTGATCGACCAATGGTGCTCCACACAATGAAGCAGGGCGGCCGTTAAGCTTTGTATCAACACAGTGTGAGCTAGATTGTCGCTGCACATCCCACATTGCTCCACACGCCCTCAGCTTACCCCCACACGCCCTCATCTCACCCCCCAACGGATTCAGCTCATCCCCACATGCCCTCGGGGCACTCCAACACCCCTCGTGTGTCACCATAAGCTGCTGGCGCTTGCATGATGCAGCAACAGCAGTCAGAGAGGGCAATAGGGACTCAGAGGAGAGTTGACTATTGCACGCCACACCACCACCAGCAGTCTCACTCGCCCGCCCATGACCAAATGTGTTGCCGCTGCTGCTGCGGCTGCGTGCTGCCACATGACTCTTGATAGCTCTAGCAACCAGCCGAATATTCTTCTCCCTGATGCTGCTACTGCAGGTTACTGGTGTTGCCATACTCTGAAACGCCCTTCTCTCCGTCCTGTTGCGGCCGCCCATGCTGCTGCTGCTGCGTGTGGGCGTTTCTGGCCCCTCCACCCCGCTCCATGCTCGCTCCATCCCACCCCCATCCACATCACAATCCGCAGAGCTCGAATCAGAGGGGGGGAGAAAGGCATCAGTGGCCGCGCTGAGAGTGTGATGTGCTCCGTGCCACGAGGCAGGGGTGCAGGGGACACGCAGGGCAGCAGGCGCAGCCATAGCAGAATTCTGACACGCCTCAGTAGCCGTGGCAAGAGCGTGATGATGTGTGCAGGGACGAGAGGCAGGAGCGTGGAGGGGAGGCAGAGCAGGAGGCGCAGCCACGGCAGAGGTTTGACGCACCTCAGTAGCCGTGGCACGAATGCGATGCGCACTGTTTTGAGATGCAGGCGTGCAGGGGACAGGCAGAGCAGCAGGCGCAGCCATGGCGGAGGCAGGCCGCTTGGCACGCGCGGTGCGTGGCATGGCGTTTGAGAGAGCGAGCAGGATCGTGTTCAGTTGCTGCTCTTCCTGCAGTACCAATGACACCTGCTCTTGCTGCTGCTCTTGCTGCGCCTGCCTTCTCTGCTGCTCGCCCTCCTGCTGCTGCTGTTGATTCTGCATATGACGTTTTTGCTGCCGTTGCTTTTGCTGCTCTCGATCTTGTATCAGCTGAGAGAGGAGACCAGCAGAACGAATCAGCAATGTGTGACAATCAAACTCAGTGACATCAGGGTCGACACCAAGGTCGACACCAGGGTCGACACCAGGGTCGACACCAGGGTTGATACCATAATCAACATCAGCACCTACACCACTCAATGCTACAACCCCCGGATGATGCTCACTGCGAGCTGTGACTCCCCGGTTACACCCGCTCGGTGTTACATCCATGGATACCGCGCCCACCTCGCACAGAAACTCATCTACCTCATCGCGGGACTGGCAAGCGCTTCCCTCTGCTGCCCCCACAGCATGTAAACCCAAGACACTGAGCGTGTTTCCTGGAGACTCAAGGGGGGAGGTCAGGGGAGAGTCGAGCGGGGAATCAAGGAGGGAGTGGAGGGGAAGATCAAGGGGGACCACGAGAGGGGGCACGAGGGGGGGCACGAGGGGGGCCACGAGGGGGGAGCCGAGGGGGGAATCGTGCGAATTATGGCGAACTCGAGCCAAGCACACTGACTCATAGTCCTCTCTGTGTTTCTCGGCGCCTTGGAGTGTGCTTGGCGATGCGAGCGAGTGACACATGCCCGCAAGGCCCTCCTCCACGTGAGCGTCCATGCCCGGGAATGTGCCAGGCCATGCGATGGGGTCCCACACGCCCGCCCATTCCGCCTCAGGCTGCTGCTGCTGCTGCTGCTGCTGCTGCTGCTGCTGTTGCTGCTGCTGCACCTGCTTCTGGTGATCCCAATCGCAACCGGCGTCCCATTCCTTAGTCTCTGGCAAAATTCGACCGGCGAGAGCAGGAGCAATAGAAGGCGCGGTTGAAGCAACAGGAGTAGCAGAAGCAGCTGCAGGAGCAAGAACAGCAGGTGGAGTGGCAGAAGCAGCTGCACCAACAGTAGTGGCGGTGGCAACGGCGGTGGCGGCGGTGGCGGCTGCTGCGGCGGCAGCACTCGCGTGGTTGGGAGGCGCGGGGTGGTTGTGGAGGCGGCAGCGGTAGGCAACTTGGATGGCGTCGGGGGAGAGCGGGTCGGAGCCGTTGCGGCAGTTGATGTCAACAGTCTTCTTGGCCGGACAGCGCAGGCTGGTCTTGGCGCGACTGCACTTGTAGTAGCACCTGGTTTGCGGGGCGCGAGGGGGGGAAGGGGGGGGGGGCGCGCGAGAAGACAGTAGTACAGCACGTGTGAGATGGTGGTCTTGGCGAGAGTGCACTTGTAGTAGCACCTGGTGATGGCAGAGGGGTGAGGGCTGGAGGATGATGGATGGACAGGGAGCGCAATGGTCAAGAGGACGGAGCGAGATGGTGGAATTGTGGAATTGTGGAATGGTGGAATGGTGGAATCTGCACCAACACAAGTCAACACAAGTCAACGGAGGGACTAAATCAACGGGCAGCTAATCTGGGTCAGCAGGAATCAACACAAGTCAGCGGAAACCAACGCCAAGTCAACAAACGTCAAAAGTCAACGCGAGTTAGCGGGAGTCAACGAGAGGCTGACCTGGTGGCATTGGAGCACTGCACTTGCTTCTGGCCGTACTTGAGCCAGTTGTGCCCATCGGAGCCCACCACCCGCGCCACCATCTCCTCCAACCGCCGCCGCGCCGCCATCTCCTGCTGGGAATCACCCATTTTTTCCGGGGAGTTCACAAATTCTAGCTGGGGAACAGCAGCAGCAACGGCGCCGTCACGCTCCGCTGCAGCCTGAGGCTGCTGGTGGGCAACTGCTGTTGGCTGAGGCGGCTGCTGGTGGGCAACTGCTGTTGGCTGAGGCGGCTGCTGGTGGGCAACTGCTGTTGGCTGAGGCGGCTGCTGGTGGGCAACTGCTGTCTCATTCATCGTCCTCATCACCTCCACCATCATCATCATAATCTTGCGTTGGGAAGAGACGTGCGGGAAAGCTGCTTCAGCAGCGCCTTGGAAGCTGCTTCACGAGAAAATGGGATGCGTGGAGAATCTCTTTTTTTGAGGCGCCTCAAAAGACGAGAAAATGGGATGCGTGGAGAATCTCAAAAGCGCTGCAGAGACTTTCTTGAGGAGGACAGAGGAACGGTAGGGGGAACGGTGGGGCCACGTGGGAATGGTAGGGGGAACGGGAGGGGGAACGGTAGGGGGAAACAGTAGGGGGAACGGTAGGGGGAACGGGAGGGGAAAGCTGTAGGGGGAACGGTAGGGGGAACGGGAGGGAAAACGGTAGGGGGAATGGAAGGGGAAACGGTAAGGGGAACGGTAGGGGGAAACGGTAGGGAGAACGGTTGGGGGAGCGGTAGGGGGAACGGTAGGGGGAAACGGTAGGGGGAACGGTAGGGAGAACGGTAGGGAGAACGGTAGGGAGAACAGTAGGGAGAACGGTAGGGGGAACGGTAGGGAGAACGGTAGGGAGAACGGTAGGGAGAACGGTAGGGGGAACGTTAGGGGACCGGGAGGGGGAACAGGAGGGGGAAACGGTACGGGTAACGGAAAAGGTAGGGGGAACAGTAGGGTGAAACGGTAGGGGAAAACGGTAGGAGGAACAGGGTAGGGATGAGGAAGGGGAGGGACCCTGGGATTAATCCCCGCGTACCGTCTCGAAACGAAAACGGTTCTAGGATGAAAGAGAACAGGGCAGAAAAGAGAAAGACCTCTGTCACAGAGGTTTAGCAACACGTAGTTTAGAAACGAGAACGGCGGGCGAACGATATAGAACAGGGTAGGGAAGAGGAAGGGGAACCCGAGAGAAATCCCCCTGTAGATGCTGCTGTTGTGTCGCTGCTGCTTCAGAATGGTGAGTTTCCAGTGCTGCGGTCAGGGTGAGAGGGTCGTTGTCAGGAGTCGTAAGGAAAACAAGGGTTTCAGGACGGGGAGAATCAGGGTGAGAGGGTCGTTCTAGGAGCGCGGACAGAGATAGCGTCTAATGTAAGTGCATCATTGTACTAAGTTGTGAGTGCATGAAACGGAGATACCGTCTTGTATTGGTGCTCGCGAGAGGAAAGACCCATTTCAGATGAGGAGAGGAGGAACGAGAGCAGCCGCAAGGAAGGAAACAATTTCTTTGGCCTAAAAGATCCGATTCTTGAGTTGGAGGCGGAAATCTGTTTCGGCGAGACGAGGAGGAGGGAGGAGAGCAGCGTTGCAAGATTGAACGCACTAACAGAGCTGAAAGTAGGGATGTGGAAGAAGTGATGGTGGAGGACTGGCTCTACAAGTGGTAGCGGCGGTGGTACAACTGGCATTTCCCTGGTCTATCCGTGAGAAACGTCAAGTCAGACGAACGCTGTGTGATTGATGCCGCTCTGGCTACAACTTGAAGGGGGGGGGAAGAAGGCTGCTAGCACAGCAGCACTCGCCGGGTGCTGGGGAAGCAAAACCCGGCGAGAAAAACGACAGAACCGTTGCGCGTGACGGAGGTTGCGTTCTGGGTGTGCTGGAAGAGGAGACGCGGTACAGTATCAAGGCAAGACTGCCATGGATGGCCCACTAGCACGATCGAAATCGAAACCTAGTACAGTAAGGCGTGCTCTGCCTGCACTGTACAGTACGGAGCTTCAAGCCAAAGGCGGCGTGCCTGCCACAGAGGGCCACAGCACACCACCACCAAATGGTGACTACCCACAGGCAGACCAAAGTTGCGCAGCGTCCTGGAAAGCCCAATCCTGGCAGTGCCTGCTCACAGCGTTGTACTGAACTGAATATCCAACTCGGATGGGTACTGACACCTGCTAGTGGTGGTACGTGTACACTGACACTCCTCCATCCGCGCTTCGACGTCGCAGACGGCTGAGGTTCATTCGTCGAGCAATCGGGCGGGATGATTGGGTGCTATGGACGGCAACAGCAGTCGTAGATGCACGCAGGAGCGGCGCAGATCGCTTCGCAGAGTCTCGCGAATCTCATGAAGTTGTGGCCTATCTGTAGAACGGATAGGGATCGCGCTATTGAGTCTTGCTAAGCGGAGACGACGGAAGATGACGCGAGATGAGAGGAAACGAGGCGAGAGGTGATAAAAAGACGAGAGGTGATAAAAAGACGAGATAGTGTGGAAGGAGCAGCCTTCCGTGACCTCACTGCTGAGCCTCGGAAGGAACCTCGGCTGGGCTCATTTCTTGGCGGTGCTGGTTGTGCCGGTGGTTCGCGCCTGAATGTTCACGATTCAAAGTTCACGAATGAAGAACGGTAGGACGAAAACCTAGACTCAGCGGGGTTCAAGGTCCAAGATTCGGACCCGATTGATCGATGATGTTATGTTCAGGTGAGTTGCCGTCCAGGTTGAGTGAGTGACACGGCAGTAGTGGGAGCAGACCCAACCCAAACATCACCTGGTGAACTGATTGAGTTCAGTCGTCACATCACGCCAGGAAAGCAACCACTCACCACGAGGTCACTAGCCTTCATAGGAGCAAAATATTACAGTAAAGTGAGCCTGATTGGAGATGCTTGCACAGCTCACAGTCTCCGGCTCTGCAAGGCCAGCGAGGCTTGTAGTTGCGGCTACTAGCAGTAGGCCTTGCATTCTGTATTGGGCTTGTCCTCGTTACTGGCCCAATGGCCAGATTTGGCTGCTGCGCAGCATTTGCCAAGTGTTCTATCCTGTCGTTTCGCGACTCTCGTCGACAGGCGAGTAGTAACGACTTCTGTCATGTCACGTCACTTGTACTGGCTGGCAGGTCAATGAAACAACAGCAAGCTCCGTCGTGATCTTGCTTCCCACAAGGACGCGGTAAAAGTAGAGAATCGATCGCCTCAAGATCATTTTTTGGCGCGGTTGTAAACGGTTGTGTACTTTCCGTATGCAAAACGCAAGGTTTTAGTGCGGTGACAGGATCGATCTCCCCCCGATCGAGCACTTTTACCGCGTCCTAACTCAGCATGAACTGTACTTCAGATCTAGGCTAGGGTGTGTGTGAAGTAAGGCGGCAAGGACGGACGTTGCTCTGGCTTGTCCTTTTTCCCTTCCACTTGGAAACCTATGGGAGAACGCTCATGCACCAACCACGCCATGAAAGATGATCTTGCAACCGCGTTGCGGTTGGAGCAGACTACATACGTGTAATAGCAGACTGAATCCTCGAATGCCTTTCGCTGAGTCAAGGGAATGCCAAGGCGGCTGCGCATCTCTACTCAACTCCCACTGACAGCTCAGTTCCCCCCAGTTCCACCCAACCCGCCGTTTCGTAGTGTGTAGAAATATGTTCACTTCGCATATCTGCAGAGCAGATTTGCTGAAATTACGAATGCTGTACTTTATAACGAATCATTCTCTTGACAGTGACCACGCGAAATTGAACTTCTGTTATCATCAGAAGTTTCGTATCCGTTAATAATCATAGGTGTAAGGAAAATTCCTTTTCCTTACTTCGCATCCCTGCTCAACGCGTACATCACTGTAGCACCTCAGTCAGCACCGTTACCACTCGCGACCATCGCATCATTTCATCATCCCGCCCTTTTCGCACATCGCATCCCGACCTCACGGCTCGGCTGGTAACCCGCGCTCCGGGCCTACGCTTCGACACTTTCCCAACCTCAGTCCCAGGCTCGTCGCGCGACCATTACCGTTACCACTGTAGTTTCGCTATATATTCTTCGCTCATGCCTTCGCTCATTGTATTCTTGCTTCGATAGTGCAATTCTCGTTCGTTCACTCAATTGCACTCGTAACACTTGGTATTCAGAGCCTACAATCCCTTCTCGGACCGCATTCACACCTTCGTTCCCCACTATCTCAATTTTTGGGGGGGGTAGACGTCTCTCAGCGATCAAGCACCGCCGCTCGTAGTACTCTCTCGAAAGCACGCACGGCCACGACCGAGGCTCTCGCTGAGTTTGCCCGACACCCCCGCCATGGCCGATTTCAATCTTGCCACGTTGACGCAGGAACAACTCGATCGTCTCGTGCGTCGATTGGAGGATTCGGCGCTCGAAATCGCGACTCTCACGGCGGAACGTGACTCCGCCCATCAAGAGTCAACGGTGAACGTACCGACGACATCACACGCACCAACCAATGCATCTGCACATTCGGAGGAGCCCATCGTCATCTCATCCGGCACACCAACGCAACACAACAGCACGGGACAGCGCTCAGGCGCAGCCAGTGACGGCGCAGCCCAACCGATGCCCGGCATGGGAGGGAACAGGAGCGCATTAAGCCCACGGGAGCCCCGAGAAGCCCGTCGGCCCGTGGAGTTTGCGGCGACAAGTGGCGAGAACGCCATGATGGCCCCAATGCCACTCAAGCCGCAACGCCCGCCCTGCTTCGACCCAAGCCAACGCGGCGGCCCGACAGTTCAATCGTGGGTCTTCACGATGAATGTGTTTTTCGACGCCAACTACGTCGAGTCGGACGCCGCCAAGATCCGGTATGCGGTTTCATTACTCAGGGGCCCCGCCATGGACTGGTGGCGAGTCATTGTGACGTCGCCGCGCGCCTACGAGCCACCGTCGCACGAGGAAGGGCCCTCGGGTCCAGCTGTTACCTGGAGTTCGTTCTGCGAAACCGCCCAATACAGCACGTGGGATGCGTGGTGCGCAGGGCTTCGGGCGCGTTTTGAGCCGATCGCGGCCTCGATTTCGGCGCGTCAGAAACTGCGCACTTGGCGCCAGCTCGGGTCAGTTCAAGACTACACCAGCGGGTTTCTCGCACTTTGCGAACAGGTCGGCTACATGCACGAGGCGGAGCGGGTGGACCGTTACGTCGGAGGGCTGAAGCCGGACATCTCGCACGAGATAATGCTACGCGGGCTCTCGAATTTCAACGAGATCCTCGCGCTCGCCGAGAAAATCGATATCCTACGCCGACCGAGACCGGGGTCCTATTACGGACATCGTCCTCGGGGACCGACCGAGCACGCCACTGTACA